GTCACTCACCCCATGGCTATTGGGACATATACAGAACATTGCTGTGTTCAAATTGGCTGCCATGTTTCGCCCACACAATGCACTGTCAATCCACTTTACAGTATATCCTGTGAGGTGTTTTGAGATGTCTCAATGACATGACATTGTTGTAAGAATTATTATTTATTATTCAATCATCCTCAAACGGCCAACACCAGCCGACCATCTACTGTAATGCTGGAGACAAAAGACATTTCCGTCACTGTGATCACAGCTGATCTGCTGCGAGCTCTGAGATGCTGACTCAGACAGTTCGGGCTTTGGCTTTAAAAGGTAATTTTGAAAAGATGGGGTTAATCATAGAATCCAAAATGAATAGGTGAAATAATAATAAAAATGCTTCATCTGTATTTTCTCTCTGGTAAAATATTTTGGACTATTTGGAATCTCCCAAGTGTCATGTTCAGCTAGTTTCAGATCTTTACAAGTACACTGTTTAAAGAGCTCCACCCCAGGGCACCTTCTGAATATCACCTTCTCAGGGTAACCAGGAATGGGCAATAAATCCTCACCAAAGAATAAGTGATCATACAGACACCCTGGGTTGAGTAAAACCCAACACCACTTTACCTGACAGCAAGTCCTGACACCTGCGCAGCCTCTGAGATATTGTACGGTATAATAATAAAAACTTAATTTAATATAGTGCATTTCACATTGGAGAGACAGCTCAAAGAGCTCCACAGGATTTACTATAATGTATAGTGACTGCATTTTATAGGCGAACATGGTAGCTAATTTATGCACAGCCATGGAGAGTGGGTTACCAATTTTTGTTTGGGGGGATTGTTGATCAGGACCAGGATAAACTCCCTTCTCAAACAGTGCTATGGAATCTATAGCATCCACCTAAACGGGTGGGTGGGACCAGATTTCATCCAAAAATGGCATCTCTAGAAATGCAGTGCTGTCCCAGACTATATTGGAGTGTCAGCCGAGACTGAGTTCAGAGTTCAGATGTGGGGTTTGAACCCACAAACCTTTGACTTGGAGGTGAGTTGTGCTATTATTTGAGTCAGGCTGACACCAAAATAATAATAGTAATAATGATTGACGCTATTTCGAGTGCAAGGATGATTAAATGATCCCATTTGTTTCCTGTTAAAACAAAACAGAACAGATTCAGGCTTGAATATTGTGATCTTGTGTGTGATATTGTTGGACAAGGTTTGGGCTCTGTACTGGAGAATGCCCGTAGCATTTAGAAATGGGAAAATGCTAAACTTTATTGCACTTTTAGTTTTGTCATTAGAAGCTCATAAAGCACATTTCTGCAAAACAATCCCGCTCAATAGTCTTTTTTTAAAAAAGCATTATTTTAAAAGCGTGCGGATTCATTAGTTAATAGCATTTCAGTGCATTCATCGCCTTTATTGCTTACACTTGTGTGAGTTTGCCACAGCAGACGTCCCCTGATCATACATATGTATGAAAGGAGAAGCCTGTCCAGCTCTCATTAACATTGACAAAGAATATCTCAAGCTGTGGGTGTTAGCAACTCCGCAAAACCAGGCAAATAGAAATGTATTGAGGCATCATCAGATTAACTGAAGCACTGAGTCTTTGGACTAGCCTTCCTCATGATTATCATTCGCAGCAAGGGTGTTATTTGCTAAATGCTTATAATAATAATAATTTTTGCATTTGTTATAGTGCCTTTCATGTCAGGAGGACGTCACAAAGTGCTTCAGAGGATATACTGTGTAGTGCAGTGGCTATGTACTTTGTAGGCTGCGTATTCCCCTCCCCAAAAACGCTCAATTGGATAAAGACAATTGTTTCCTATTATTTGAAAACAAGTGATTGGAAATGAGAGTGCTCTGAAATACAATTTGTGGATCAAATTCCTTTCTTCCTTCTTCCACAAGGGAAATAAAAGTATGATTTTTTTAAAAAAATCTGCAATATATATTGTTGCCTGTTCTGTATCTCCCCTCAATTTATTCATCAGTGTCTCTTTCTGCGATGGTTTAGTTTTGCCCTTTTTATTGGGGGGGGGGGAGAATTAATCCTCATTTTAGCCAACGCAGGTTTCAGTTTCAATAACATGCGTGCTGCTGCTCTGACTGGACGGATGGATGAGGCCTCCTTTTCTTCCCTGTTAATTGGTTGAGACCAGCAGAATTCGAAGGCTACAGATGTCGCTGATAGTTTGCCTAGGGAGCACATTCACAGCCCCATCTGTTGCAGTCTAGAAGCCTGTTCTTGTGTCCAAAAGGCCTAATTTGATTCTTGTCAGAAAGTAATGTAAATGTAGTTTACCTCTTGGGTCACTGCTGAGTTTGATGCCAGTTGAGATCCTCCCTCTATTTTTAGATGGCAGGCTGAATAAGAATCGAGGGGTTTCAGTAAGAAACCCTTCATGTCAATGCATATTAAAAACCAGAATGTCTGGCGTACAATAGAGTTTAATTTTATTCTGCATGTCATTAATCCAATCCTACAATAAGATTGCTGAAAGAAATTGTAAGTTGCTCAGTTAAAGTTTAAGGATGGGAAGAGTTGAAGATTAACGTTGGAAATTAAGATAAAGTTGATTTCTGGCACTCTGGGAAGCCTAGGTTATTGTTTTCAGATGGGATTTCCTGCAGCCAATTGTGCACAGCAGTGTCCCACAAACAATCCTGGATTGAGTGACCAAATTATTATTTTTATTTATTGTTGAAGGGATTATTAACCCCAGAAAAGTGATCCGCCAGTCGACTAACAACCAGATTCCTACTCACTGCTAGGTAAACAGTGGAGTAAAGAAACTTGCCCAACATTACACCCTGCCTGGGAAATGAACCCAAGTCCTCTGGCATGCGAGGCGAGCGTACTAACCAATACGCTCAGGACTCCACAAACGCTACATTCTCCACCCATTAACTGTATCCAACCTTCCACCCTGGTGCCTGTACAGCTGTGCTAAACTCGTTGTTCTTACACACAGGTTTTTTGTCCTTGTGCAATAGTGTGGACAGGGCAGGCAGGTGTGACAATTGCTCACATGTCCCTGTCGTATTTAGGGCTGTCCTTTCAATAAGTTCAAAATAAATCAGGTGAGATGCACTTTTGTCCAAGATTGACAGATAACTAGTTATTGACCCTGAGGTAATATATCTACTAATCTGAGAATCAGAATTTTTTCATATTAAAAGTAGCTATTTAACTTCAATCCTTTCTCCTTCCATTTTAATGCAGTCATTTTATCAAAATATCAAATGCAAGGATTATTATTATTATTATTATAACATTACATCAGAAAATTAAAAGGTACATACAGTTTCAATTAATTTTAAAAAACAGTTAACGCCCACAAGAGCCCTGACACAGTATTGGGGTCAAGTTTTCCACTCACGGAAGAATGTGTTTATGGTTTGTCAGATACAGTGTCAAAGTACTGTCAAAGAGTCAGCCTGGCGCAGTTGATATCACTCACGCCTCTGAGTCAGACGGTTGTGGGTTCAAGCTCCATGTGGGCATTGAAGTCAGAGTCCAGGCAGACACTGCAGTACAGTGCTGGAGAAGCTGCATTGTCAGCAATGCCATCCATTAGATGATAAACCAAGGTCCCTTCGGCCTGTTCAGGTGGATGTCAAAGATCTTATGGCACTATTCGAGAAGGGAATTTCTCACTGTGTCCTGGCTAGTATGACCCCAAGTATAATTGGCCATTCACCTCATGGCTGTTTGTGGGACATTGCTCTGTGTGAGTTGCCTGCCATTGTTTAACAACAAAATGCACAGTCACTACACTTAACAGTAAATTCCTGTGACGTGCTTTGAGAAGTTTTGCTAATGTGAAAGGACCTCATACCAAATACAATGATTATTTTATTTTAAGTGAATCAAAGTGAATCTTAGCTTCTGAATTATTGATGTCCACCTTCACATGAGGTGTGTGGCAGGGGGTCGTACGTGTGGGGGCAGGGTGAGCGTGTGAGAGCGGGGTGTGCGTGTGGGGGCGCAGCGTGCATTTGGGGGTGGGGTGTGCATGTGGGGACAGGGCTAATGGACCTTTTGCTGGAGCAAGAATGTCAACCCCAACCACAGCAGTAACCAGCTCTGGGGGCAAGTGCACATCTACGGGACATTGTTTAATCTCAGGCACTGCTGCAGGTGTATGGGCGCATGTCAGTAACATTATTCTAGGTTAAAATGTATTGTAATCTACACTGACTGTATTGCATTTCATGCCTGAAGACTCTACAATAAGTGGATACATACAGTACAACCCTGTTAGAACTTTACATCACAGCCGCTCACACTCGGTTGGAGTTATATTATTATATATTTATTATATTTTGATATTGCAAAGTATATCGCCGATATACCTAGTGAGGGCTCAAACCTTTGCTCTTGCCAAACTGCGCCTAATACTTTCTGGAATTAGGTAAACAGGATACATCCCTCCAGGGAGAGAGTGCGCATTCCATTCCAACAATCTGTCTCTGGGATTTCCATGCATAGATGGGATGCATGGAAATCTCAGCTTGGTTTGGATACTCTTAAGCGTGGTGATGGGTTTCCGCGTGTGTCAGACCCCAAAAAATCACGGAGCCCTGCTGTTACTCCACAGGAAGTCAATGTACTGCGGGGTTCTCCCACGTTACTGTGGTATGTCTGACTCGTTGTACGCTGCAATATGTTACAACAAAGCCAGACTGTACAGTTATTTTACAAACTAAAACCAGTGGTGTCCGTGCTGGAAAGTGGGGTGCAGACAGTGCCTGTATGCATTTGTATGTGGGAAGAGTGTCCCAGCTGCCGACGCCTCAGCACCAACCCCCGCCAGAAATTCACACGCGACATCCACAGAGGGAGGAGGCTCTTGTGTATTTTGCTGCAGTGTGAGCATTATCTCGCCCTGCTTGAGCCTTACAGATAATTGATGACGGTTTAGTTAATCATTTCTCCCTTTTGTTCACCAGGTAGTTCGCCTGAAGGATCCTTTATCTAGCTTTTGTGTCTTCCCATAGGTAATTGATCATCCAACACCCAGGGACGTTCAATTCATAGGCGAGCGAGTGGTCATGAATAACCAAGAGGTGGAAGCGCTCCTACAAGAGTGCAAGAGGGCCCTGGATGGACCCCCAGTGAAACCGTCAGAGGAGGACAAGACAGAGTACCAGCGTTGCAAAGGTGAGAATTCCGAAGGAGTTTGCAGCAAAGGGGCGCGATTTAATGCCAGCGGGGGGCGCTAGATCCATCCACGGGCAACCACGCGCTCTTGCTCCTGCCCTATCTTTCTTGTCTTGGCAGACGAGGGTTGAGAAATAACTGGATTTACAGGACATGAATAGGATTTGGCCTTGAGTAGGGGGGAAACACACTTTGTTACAGTGAATTGCTGTCAGTTCTCATTTTAAGCTCCAATAAACACAAGGAGGTGAATAATTGTTGCGAGTGTGGGTGACAGACGAGTTTACTCCTGCGCATATATTCTCAGCACACTTGCAGCAAACGGCAAGACCCCTAGCCTAAAAGAAGTATTTTGGTACAAAGATTGCTAGCAAACAGGTAATCAAACACTTGTATACATTTAGAGAAGAAATTGATTTAGGGTATGAAAGATAGCGACATCTAATTTGCTGGAGTCAAAAAAGTATTTATAATTAAGAAATCCAGGCTGTGTTGCCGCCAAAGCTCTGATATTCCCCTTGGCTACTTCCATTTTGACTTCTGTGAAGTCTGTTTTCACTGGGACAGAAAAGGTTGAGTGGAGACCAGATACAGAGGTCTTTAAATTTATGAGAAGTTTTGCTAGATTTGATACAGAAAAAATATTTTTACGGGTCATTGAGTCAGTGGCTAAGAGGATCAATTGAAGGTAGTTAGCAAGGGAGCAAAGGGGCAGATTAGGGGAAGTTTTTTTTACACAGTGTTATTAGGATGTGGAATATTTTGCAGTGTCTGGCAGTCAAGGCAGGATCCCTATTAGCTTTCAAGAGGGAACAAAATAGATATTTAAAAATCAATAATACACAGAGGGTTGGGTAACAAAGCAGGTAAATGAGACCAAATGGATTACTCTTTTAAAAGGCCAGCAAGGACACAATGGACCGAATAGCCTTATTCTGTGTTGTAAAGGCATCTGAGCTTTGCTCTGGAGAATCAGCCACAGCATATCTGATATTCACTAGTTCCGAGTCTTTTTGCTCCCGCTGCGATTTGTCTAACACATCCAGTACACATCACTCTCTTTCGCTTTCTCTTTGTTTTTATGTTGTACATCCTCTCTCAATATATACTTACATGCATTATCAACACATGGGAGTTGGGGGAGTGTAAAGAGAGGGGGGAAGGTAAAGGGGAGGTGGGAAATAGCACTACCTATGTAGCCTAGCAAGCGCTCTGGGACGCTACTCTGCCTGAGGGGCATTATACAAAAGCAAGTTGTTGTTGTTGATTGTGGAAACCAGGTGAACCTACATAACTGCACCGTCTTGTATACATACACTTGTTTGTACCAAAATCAGCTGATCAAAACAGTGGTCTCTCTAAGAACCAGCACTGAACTGAATCCTTTGGACTTGGAGTTAATGTATTATTTTACTCTTGGGCATAAAGAGGCTAACATGACCAGCACAATTGCTCTCAGCAGCTGTGGTCAAAGCACCTCACTTTGGAGAGGAGAGTTCACTTCACAGGGCTCTGCAGCTTATTGCTTTGCCAACCTCTAATACCTGGATTCAGAATCTTAGAATGTTTACAGCACAGAAAAAAACTTGTATCTTTGCTGCCTCTTTGAAAGAGCAATCCACCCGACCCGGAAGTCGGCTTTTTTTTTTAAGCGGGGGAATCAGAAAGCGTACAGAAGGCAAGCCAGCCAACATCGTGCACGTTGAATATAGAAGCAGGTTTGATGGAGCTGATAGGAAGAAATGATGTGTGTCCCCTGCCCTCTTCATACCACTGTCAGTGGCCAAGTTTTCAGTTCTTAGCCCCTTGTCTCTGGACCTCCCTCCTCTAACAGTCCAGCTTGCCACCTCTCTTTCTATCTAAGTCCCACCTCAAATCCTACCTCTTCAAATGTGGGACCTCCTCCTCTTCACCCTTTTCTCTTGCTCAGCGTCCAGCCTATGTCCCTGTAAAGTGCTCCTATGTGAAGGGCACTATATAAATATGAATTGTTATAGGCGGGTTGAGATTTTATTGACCCCTAACTACTGCCTTACAATACAGCTGCATCTTGTTAGATGTCTACTTAATACCAACTTGAAGGTCAATATGAACTCTACCTCAACCATCTCATCCAACAGGCATTCCACATCCTAACAACTCTGTATGTAACAAATCCTAATCTTCCCATTTGTTTGTTACGATAAATTGATGCCCTCTAGTCACTGACTCACCGATAGTGAATATAATTTCTTCCTGTCGACTTATCAAGAAACTGCTTATAATTTTATAGACCTCTATTAGATCATCCCTCAACCTTCTCTGTTCTATTGGAAATTGATTCAGCTCTTTTAGTCTCTTCTCATAGGTTAAACCACTCGCCCTCGGTATCACCCTAGTAAATCTCCTCTGCACTCTCTACGCCTATTTATGTATTCTTTCATCAAAGAACTTTAATTGTCAAGCAAGAAATGCCTTTAGCAAACCCTTGCTGACTGTCTTTGGTCAACCTATATCTTTCTAAGTGTTTATATCCAATACCATTGCCGCTAAAGGTTTGTCCAATATTGATGTTATGTTCTGTTGTCTCTTTTTAGACAGGTGTTACATTGTAACCCTCCAGTCTTATGGCACAAATTTTGTATCCAAGGATGTTCGAAGAGCATCTACTATATCCTCCTTGTTCAGCATTCTCGGATGCTGCCATCAGGCCTTGGTGACTTTGTCCACTGAAATCCATCAATTATTTTAGTACCGCTACCTTTTCTACAGGTATCCCTTCCCAGTTGTCCGTTTCAATTCTTGCACATCCTTCTTTTGCACACTATATCTCACCATTATACTTTTTTTTGTAAAAACTGTGGAAAAAAACTCATTTGGTACCTCTTCATTTTTGATGACTAGATTTCCCTTTTTGACTCTAACATGGACTGCTTTTTCTTTTACCTTTTATTTTTCATAGAATCCTTCAACCATTTTCTTGTGACCTGCCAGCCTTTGCTGATATCCCTGCTTGGCCTCTACAATTTCTTTGTTCGCTTCACCTCTATTTTTCTATACTCTGTCTGATTTTCTTTTGTATTGTTAGCCTTTAGATTTATTTTATTTCTTTCAAGTCTCTTACAGGACATTTTTGTAAACTCAGATTCTCATTAAGGAATTCTGTAGATTGAACTCCCATCTACTCTACTCTTTCCCTGTGCTCGTTGATATTATTCTTCCTTGGTTGTTTATTCAATTCCCTTTTAAATTCTGTTGTAGCTTCAACTCATACTGCGATTTGTGGTAAATTGTTCCCCATTCTAACAACTCTTTGGGTTGAAAGAAAATCTCTGTCCTGACCCTTTTATTCTTTTGGGGGGATATAAACATCAAATGGTAGCCTCGTATTTCTCTGTTTCAGTTTAAAGAGAAGACTGACTGCAGTTTATGTGACTCTGGGGAAGATTTTACGGACTTGATGGTGTGAGACTATAAAAGGATTTTCCTGTTAAACTCACACTCCCAAGGCAGTAATGAAATGCCTAATAATAGTCCAAAGCTGTAACAGGGGATAATGTGGGCCTGCTGTACTGTAAGGTGTTTATTCTATGAGAGTCAGTAATAGTCCTAAATGTTCTGATACACACTGACTCCAGACCATAGTTGGTGGTAAAAAAATATTATTGGGTGGGAGGGGGGCTGAGTAAAACTAAATAGCTACTGTGCTCAGGAACATTTCTTCCCGTTCAGAATTGCATGATTCTTATGTGTTTCTCACAAATACGAAATAACACAAGATAAAACGACGAAAAACGACATATAAAACAAAATGAAGCAAAATAATCATTATAAAATAAACACAAAGAAAGTAATAAATTAAAGTTAAAGAGACAGTCTTGTGGGAGTTTCGCCCCAAAATACACAGTTGATCCACTTTACAGTATATCCTGTGAAGCGCTTTGAGACGTCTCAACGACTTGATGAAGCGCTATATCAAATGCAAAGTTTACTAAGATTACTACTTACAATCCCCTTGAAGACAGGTGAGCCGTTTGCTTGACTGACAGTTCCATCAGCCATTCAGAGGCAAGGATACCCCACAAGCAGCTCCCAAACCATCAGGGTGTTCTCAGCCTAGATCCACCCTGCTCCCACTTATAATCATTTATTATTAATACAAGATCAGAGATGATACGGTTACAGATTGCAGTTGGTGGAGGAGGGGTGCGACTGATGCTACAGGTGGGGCTGTTTGGAGGACTTGCTGTGGTCTTCCTCAGGGTTCAGGGCTTTTCCTCGACTAGCGCCACTTAAAGAGATATTCTACACAAGGAAGGTGCTTGCAGCGCATTTGCAAAGCTCTTCCTCAGTAAGTGCAATGGAAGGAAGCCAGGACCTGTTTGAGGGGTAAGGCACTACACTGTTTAGTAAGCAGCAGTGCGAGGCTGCTGGCTTTTGGCTGTTGGCCAGTGTATAGCTAAAACCGGAGAAACGTTAGTGAGTTGGTAGATCGATTGGGGAAGGGTGGGCTAAACCTCCAACCCTAGCCACCTGCTGCCTGGGCTCCACACTGAACTAAACATTATGAGAAGGTCACAAAATGCGATACTTGCCAGAGGATTTGAAAAGGATTTGATCATTTGCTGTTTGCAGGGCTTTGCTGTGCGCAAATTGGCTGCCGTGTTTGCCTATAAATACACAATCGCTACACTTTATAGTAAATCCTGTGAAACACTTTTGAGATGTCCACCTGACGTAAAATGCACTTCAACAAATGCTAGGATCAACAATTGACCAACCTATTTCTTTATAAACTACAGAATTGCTAAAAATACTTTAAACAGCTTCCCACTATTTTTCAATGTCACCAATTTTTCTCCTCCAATTTTCTCACCTCTTCTGAAGGGTTTTATCATTCCTTTCCACAGCGGTGCAATTCTATGGGCGCTGGTACCTTGACCAGGTGGCCATTGTTCACGTGTTAGTCTTGGCAGTGAGTGTTGTTGGGCTGGTCAGCCTCGAGGTGGTCTCAGCCGAGCTCAGTCTTGCCCCCGCTTCTAATCATTTATTATTGAGTAAAAGATCCGAGATGACACGGTTACAGATTGCAGTGTTTTCAGTGAGTAGAGTGTACCTTTCAGTGGGACCGATCAACCATCACGACCCCAAGATCAATTTCACCCTGATCTAACATGGAGATAGTGGATCAGTGCATACAGATAAATTGCTATTTCTTGAAAGAAAGACCTAACTGAAACCAGGCAATCCTATTACTACCCTTTAAACTGAGTATCTTTAACTGCTTCATTTGGCCAGGAATTAGTTCACCTTCTTGATGATATCCTCCAGTGACTTGAATCAATTTTGTTCCAGTCAAGGTGTATAAAGAATCCCAATAATGACTAACTTAGGGATGGCTCTTCAGTATCTTGCTCCAGGAAGTGGTCACTCAGGAGAAAAGTGTGATAAGGATCAGTGGACCCTTCTCCTCAGGGTGACAAGTTGACCCAATGAACCGGAGTTCAAAATGCAATTGGTGCTTTTTACCACAAACAGAGCAGGATTGTAGTTTATTTGCTGAGCTTTAGACTTACTCCTGTTGCTCAGATGTGTGCTGTGTGATATTTAACCCTTTAATAATAATAATAATAATCCTTGCATTTGATATAGCACTTTTCACTTCGGTTGGACGTCCCAAAGCGCTTCACAGAACACACTGTAAAGTGAATTGACTGTATATTTGTGGGCGAACGCGGCAGCCAATTGCGCACAGCAATGTCCCACAAACTGTCGTAGATTGAAAGTGACCAATTTATTATTGTTTTTGGTTTTGGAGGGATTATTATTAGGCTCTGTGTGGAGTAAGGAAACTTGCCCAAGGTCTCGCCCTCTGCCTGGAATTGAACTCGGGTCTCTCGCTTGCAAAGCGAGTGCTCTAACCACTGAGCTACAGGACTCCACTTTAAGGAGCAGTTGGCATGTTTTGATAATAGTACTCACATTTGGTTCAGAGCCTTTCATGTCAGGAGGAGATCCCAGAGTGCTTCATAAGATATACTGTAAACTGCAGTGACTGTATTTTGTGGGCAAACACACCCCCAGCACTGCATTGGAACATCACTTTAAGCTATAATAGTTTCAAATCCCCACGTAGGTTTTGAACCCACAATCTTCTGACTCAGAGTGAGAGCGCTACCAACTGAGCCAGACTGACGCACAAGCGAATGATAAATGAACAGTATTTGCTGCTTGTTAGGGCCACATTCACCTGACATGTTTCAAGGTTAAGGACACCAATACAAAAATGTTCACTGAGAGGAAAACCTGTAAAATAAATGTAATTTAACTGATCCAGAACTGCACATTAATTAAGCGAAAAATATTTTAAACAGCTTGCCAATTTTTTTTCCCAAAGTCACCAATATTTCTCCTTCAATTTCCTCCTGACTTCTGAATAGTTCATTTTTTTTTCTTTCCCTGGAGGTGTATTTCTATAGACACTGACCACCCTATAGTACCTCGAACAAGTGGTCATTGCTCACGTGTTAGCCTTGCCGATGAGTTTTGGCAGGCTGTTCAGTCTCAGGTTTTCTCAATCGAGCTTGATCCTACCACTCACTCATCCAACAACCACACACATGCTCCTCCAGCAGGTGTCTTTACTGGTATAGAAGGGAACTCTGGCTCATTTTCTTCTTCCTCGTGCAGGGCATTCTGTTAATTTGTGGAGGTGCTGTTCTTTGGGTGAGACATTACATTGAGACCAACTGTAGTATCCCAACTTCTGTATTGACAGAGCTCAGTTAACCCAGCACCGGACAGTGCCTTTGCCCACTCGACCATCTGAGGCTACTTTTTTACCTATGAAAATCAAACATTCAGAGCCTGTCTTAATTTAGTGGTGCAGGTTCACAAAATGCTTCTCAGGATTTATAATAATAATGCTTGTATTAGACATAGCACTTTATCATGTGGTTGAGACGTTTCAAAGCGCTTCACAGAATGTACTGTAAAGTGAATTGGCTGTGTATTTTGTGGGTGAAACTATGACTGTATTTTAGGCAGACAATTTGCAGGCAGCAGTCTCCTGCACACAGCCACAAAGTGAATGACCAATTTTACTTGGGGGATTGAACCCAAAGCATTAACAAAAAAAAGAAAGAACAGAGCTTAACATTACCCAGAGTTTGGTTGGCCTTGTTAATTCATCCTTATTCAATAGCACAAGGAGCTGGTGCAGAAAGTTAGGCAGTAATGAGTGGCTAGGTGAATGTTATAAAGAATATTCCATGGGTAGATTAGTTTAAAGCACAAGGTGAAAGCAATTGCTTAAACACAGAGAGTGATCTGCTTTGACCCAATTTAGCAAACTTTGTGAAATATGGCTGAAATACGGAGTATTTTAAAATTCTAATTGAGTATACTTGCATGTAATATTCTTTTTATTTCTTAAACTTAAAACTGTGCCGTCAGCTATGCAGTGCTTACAAGGATGGATCTGTTTAAAACCAATCTGAGGTGCTTTGCCACCGTGTACATTACTCACTGCTTTGATAACCGTTTTGTCTGATTCAATTCCTGCTCTGGTTCTTCATGCATAGAGTGCCACTGAAAGGATTTACTTCCTTAAAAAGCGTTTTTAAGAGCTGGTTGGGTTTGTTTACCTGGAGGGCATGCTGTAGTAAAGCACTCGGCCAGACAAATCATCATTATGATTCTTTTGTAAGGACTGAGCAGCTTGGAGTTACTCTCAAGTGGTTGTGCTTTCACAGCTTAGGTGCCACATTTTGTGTTCGCAATCGAGGTGTCTATTTTTCTGAGATTTCCTTACATGAACTTTGACCCTCCTAGCTTCACTCTCTGCTGATCTGAAGACCCTGCTGGAACAGGCAAAGGAAATGAAGTGGCCCTTTGTGCCGGAGAGGTGGCAATACAAACAAGTCGTAGGCCCAGAAGACAAAACAAACCTGAAAGATATCATCAGTGAAAAGCTTCCAGATCTACTGGTATGAATAATGCACCTGTTGCTCAAAAAACACTTCCTTTTCTTAAACGTTCAAAAGTGAAAACAGAATATTTTCTCGGGCGCTAAAAGTTTTTTTTTTGCGCAAGTATTTTCTTTTCATCTCTGCCCAAGTTGCACTTTGCAAGTTGTGCTTTTCTCATTGTAATTAATGAATCCGAGTGCACAGTGTTAGGCAAAGTGGGTGAGTAAAAGTGGCTTTTCTTACAGGACTGAAAGCACATTGGAGCCAGCAAAAAGTGGGAATGTTCTTTTTTCAAACCCTCTCGTTGTAAATAAAGAGCAAAAGCATCCTGTTCTATCTCAGGAATATAGCTGAAACTATCAATACGTTTGCCTAGTATTTCTGCTATATCTTTAAGTTAAAGTGCAGTAAAACAATGTGGTTTCATCCCCTTGCCCCCCCACCATATACACAAACAAACACACATACACAACGATTGTTGATTGTAAGCGATTGTTTCCCCCAGTCAGAACTAATGATAAATATACTCTCCTCTATATTTGTTTAAGTCCAAAATGCAGTCAACAAAATCTGCAAGAAAATGCTAAGAACATTTTGGAATGTTAGCATTAAGTGAGACCAAGAAACATTTTTATTTTTTGTGCGCGTTTGTAAGAAAAACATTTTTTTTGGGTGGTGGTGGGTGGGGGGGGGGGAAGGTAGGTGGTGGGGGTGGGTTGTCTGTATAAGTAGCGTAGCTGTTTTTGTTTCTTCAAGACAGGAATTTATAGCTGTGCCTGACCTTCTTTATCCCACACAAAAGCTTTATAACTTTAGAGAGTTTGTCCGCATCAGAAAGCTTTATCACAGAAGAAACACCTGCAGTAAACTCCCCAAGAAACCTGTGTATATGAGAGATTAATGCAGGCGTAATAGCGGCCCCGTGTTTTTTGTATTATGCCTTCTCCCCAGGTAGACGGCTCTTTTCTGAGATGATACCAATTATTTATTGCCGAAACATCTGTTGATGACCGCAGCTGCCACAGCCAGACAAAGCAAATCATGGGGTCACACACTATTCAAGCCCAAAATCCAACCTCATGCCAGTTCGAGCCATTCACTGATACTTGAGCCCATAGGTTAATGTCTCTTCTCAAATGTTTCATCATGCTGCTAAAAATACTTTGTAAACACCACAGACCTCAAGATCGGCTTTGAACTATTATTTAATCGCTGCTGGTAATTTATATTCTGGCGCTATTGTGCTCGTGTGAAAGAGAGCGCGAACGAGCGAGAGAGAGAGGGAGGGAGAAGAAAAAAAACAAGAATTTCCAAACTACAAACAGGAGCAGAAAAGAGTGGCACATCTGACGTGTAATATTATTTTAGATTTAGGGATATCCAATTGTTTGACTGAGAAAGCTTTGAGCACTGGCTGTGGCTCCAGAGACCTTCCTTGAAGTGTGTATACAGACAAAGATGAAGAGCAGTCTGCAAAATACCCTGTGGGTTTTCAACAATCGTTTATCGCATGAAAACCATGTCAGGATTCTTTTTGAAAAGTATTTTTGCTGTTATTGACACAACACTGTACCACAACCAGTTTTCAGTTCACACTCAAAACTACCAATAATGTGCAAAGTTTTACAGTCTGATGAGTACTGAGCCCCTGTGCAAATGATTCCCCTGATGCTTCCTTTTTCTCATGTTTATAATATAATAATCCTTGCATTTGATAAAGCGCCTTATCACATCTTCGAGACGTCTCAAAGCGCTTCACAGGATATACTGTAAAGTGGAGTGATTGTGTATTTTGTGGGTGAAACGCGGCAGCCAATTGCGCACAGCAGTGTCTCACAAACAGTCATGGATTGAAGTGACCAAATTATTATCTTTTTTAGAAGGAAACTCATCTTTCCTGATAACTCAAATTTACAGCAGTGGAAGCATTCAGTCCACAATCAGTCACTTTTATCTGAGTTTTTCAGTGAGTTCCAGAGCCATTCAGATCCAGAAGGCCCCAAGCTTGATTTCCTTGTCTGTGCTGCGGATAGTTTTCCCATTCCCCTCTTAGCTTGTGGAGAAGAGGGGGAAGGTTTCCTCCTGTGATATTGGTATAATCTATGGGAATCCCTGATTTAAATCTTTTGGGCCTAACAGTAGCACTTCAATGCTGCACATCAGGAATCCACCTTAAAAATAGGGTTTATTTTCTCTATTGTTTTGACAAATTCTCTGCAGATTAGAGGGAGCTGTGGGGAGGAAATTTAACGTTAGTGGCATCAGCGTGTGGGAGTTCTCACCCTGAGTGAGTTTACGCTGGTGACACTGAAGATGAAGTTTGTAGTGTTGGGTAGTGCATTCTTTGTGTTAGTTAATCACAAGGTTAGGGTTAGAATGCCACAAACTTAGCCCACTATTACTATTCCTATTTCTTAATAAGGTAGTCCAGAAGTGGATTACATTGAAAAAGAGTTTGCACGAGTTGATTCGATATACATCCAGTTATTGTACGAAGTCTCTATTTGCTTGTCGTCTTGGATTTCTTAATGTCAGAGTTTAGCACTGAATCCAATTGTACAGGGTATCCACAAAGTCCTGTTCCTTTTTTTCTACAGTGTCACTGACCAACAACTGAAACGTGGAAGAATGATAATTATTTTTAGAAGTGCTTAATTGTGTTCAGTACAAGTGTTTAACTGTATTTAGAAGTCCAGAGGATCGATGTGAGCCCAATCATTTTCATAGCAGATAATGATCCGTCGCTGTGTTCGGTGCAATATCTTCCTTAACTTAGATGGAGTGACGAGGCGAAATGCATCTCTTGCAGCTTGTTTCAGCTCCTCCATAGTCTCATATCATTGTTTTGCAACGGGTGTAAAAGGACTTTAAGGACACCCTGTAACTACCCCAGCCATTGCTACCCGTTGAGATCAACTAACTAACTAATAAGTGGGATTCTATCCTGTGGACTATTGTTGTATAGCCTTATGTCTGCATCAGACACTTCTGTTGCCCATTGGGGAGAACTTTAATAACTTTTATCTAATAACAATCTTGTGAGATTGTTTGAATGATTTGAAATCTCTTGAGCTTTCCTAACTAGCCTTACTCATCGGTGAGATACAATAAATGTCTGCATGAGACTATTAGTAATTGATTCCTGTTAATGGTTTGTGTTATGTTTCAACTGAATAAGAATCGTAATTCTTATTTTTATTTGTTTCTATTGGAGCAAAATAATATAATCTTGGGCTGACGTGAGAGCTGCTGGGTGTGTGCATTTTATGAGTCGTTGATTGGTCCATTTATAAGCTGCGATGAGAACCCATGAGTGACAAAGTGGTGCTCTGTGATGCACAGTTGAAATGTAAATACAAGGACTCCACCTGTTGCCCAGTGAGTCAATACACAATCTGCTGCGGTACTAGGTCTTGTAGAATAATCTTTGATCCTGTGCAGAGTTAGATGACCAGGGCATTGGAGGAGGCTAAGTTAGAGAGCGAAAGCATCAGTTTGTGCTCCAGAACACTTTCCAGGCAGTCTTCCTGGAAAGTGTACATATGGGACTGTCAGGAAAGGATCAGACTTGACTATGATGGTCCTGCAGTCAAATTTCCCACTTTAGGACCTAGGGGTAAACGATCCACTTCAGTGCAGTACTCGGCAATTCAGCCAGAGAAGTTGTAGATTGTCTGTGCTCTGTTAGCTGGACCAGTAGTCGCAGCAGTATGGTGACTGGCCTCACTGTCTCTATATTGGAGAGATAAAAAAAATCAACAACAACAAAAAAATTACAGCTTTCACGGCGGGAGGACGTCCAAAGACACTGGACAGTGTTTTAGACCCGAGCTGGTGGTCCGGATCGGAGAGGGTGGAGGGCAGGGGGGAAGCGGGTGATCGAAAACACGGTCGAAGAGGAGGGTCTTGAGATGGGTCTTGAAGGAGGCAAGGGAGGGGGCGAGGCGGAAGGACTGCAGGTTGGAATTTCAGAGAGTAGGGGTAGAGTGGCAGAAGGCCCACCTGCTAATGGTGGGGTGAGCGAGGTGAGGGACATGAAGCAGGCCGGAGCCCGCTGAGCAGAGGGAGTGGGCGGAATGGTAGGGAGTTAGGAGGTCGCAGAGGTATGGGGGAGCAAGACCATGGAGGGCTTTGAAGGTGAGGACCAGGATCTTGAACTATATCCTCTGAGTGATGGGAAGCCAGTGGAGTCGGGCAAGAATGGGGTTGATAGGGTCATGGAGCTTGGTGCGGGAGAGGACACGAGCTGCAGAGTTCTGGATGATCTGCAGCCTGTGGAGGGAGGAGTTGGGGAGGCCAACAAGCAAGGAATTTGCAAAGTGAAGCCTCAATGTTATGAATGCTTTTTGAGGGTTTCGGCAGCCTGAGGTGTGAGACAGTGGTGGAGCCGGGCGATGTTGCGGAGGTGGGGGAGGGCAGAGCGGGTCATGGCATGCATGTGAGGTAGAAAGAATAGTTGAGGGTCAAACAAGATGCCAAGGTTCCAGACTGGCTTAGTTAGGTGGAGTGTGCAGCCATGGATGGTGGTGCTGTCAGCGACTGTGTTTTGCTGCTAATGACTGCTTCTGAGGCTATCCTGTTTCGCTTTCCCATCAGCGCCTCTTTAGCCACTGATCTTATTGACCATTCCAGTTGCTCCCATCCACTCACGAATCCTATGCAGAACCTCAGTGTTTTGTTTAAACCTTAACTCTTCTGCAAGCCTTTATCTGATCTCTGACCACATTCTCTTTCTTCTGTCTCTGCAACATCTCCTGGCTTCGCTACTTCCTCACCCTGAATGCAGCTGAAACATTCATTCACATCTTTGTCACATCCAGACTAAACTTTTCCGATGCCCTGCTCACCAGCCTCTCCACCTCCACAAACTCCAGGCCAACCAGACATCTGCAGCCCACGTCCTCTCCCACAACAGGCTCTGTGAGTCCATAACTCCCATCCTCACAGGTTCCTCCAGCTCCCTGTCCCCCAGCAGAATGATATTAAGACCTTGTCCTCGCCTCCACGGCCTCTACAATCTCCTAAGAGTATCCTCCCCTAACAACTCCCTTTGCTCCACTAACTGTTTGAAACAGGATTTATTCTCCAATTAGGTCTGATTGATTTATGTCTCTCTTCACAAGTATCACACAAGGCACAAAGAACAGTGCTACATTTTTTTCACTATTTGACAGAGGTGCTCAAGTGCTTTTTTTCTACACCTTACAGGGATACAGATGCAAGTAAATGTCTGCAAGCACTTTAGATTTCAGGAGTTTATCTTTGCTGCACCAATGAATAGTTGACAGAAAAATGTCTAATTAGTGTTAGAAGCAAATAAATGAGCCACTTGTTTTTTTTACTCTCTTTGAGTGCTACTTTTCCTTCAGCTTTCAAGCTCTTTGTTGGTGGAGCAACTCACATTCATTCTTTTGTTGACAAAGTGATAATACTAGACTGTGCAATAATGGAAGAAAACTGAAAGAGGGGATGAAACCCTCTTGCGTTTGAATCCATTCACACTCGTGGCTTTTCTTGGCATTGGGGGTGCAATACATTGTTGAAGATGTCCTTCACATAAGACATTAAACCAATGTCCTGAATACCTGTTGGTGTGGACGCTAACAATCCCATGGCACTATTGAGAAAGAGAAGAGTTTGTCCTGATGTCCTGGCCAATAATCCCAATCCAAATAAAATTGATCATTCACTTCACGGCTGTTCTTGGGACATGGCTGCCATGTTTGCTTACAAAATACACAATCACTGAACTTTATAGTATATCCTGTTAAGCACTTTGAGACATCATCCCGATGTTAAAGGTGCCATATCAAGTATAAGGATTATTATTAATTATTCTGCGATACCTCCACAAAAGCATTTATGTTGATCCACAGCTGGGAACTTGGCTGGAGCAATCCTTTCATGCTCATAAAGTTGTATTTGGCAATTGGCAGCAGAGTTCAGTGTTTGCCTACAACTTCACAATAAAAATGCTAGAAAATGCTTTGAGAAGTTTTGATTACGTGATAAGGTGCTATAGCAAATGCATGGCTTATTATTATTTTTATTAACTTATTTCACACAGGAAATTTTTAACTTTTGTTTAAATAATTTAAATAATCCCTCAAGAAAAAAAAAATAATAATTTAGTCACTCAATCCACGACTGTTTGTGGGACACTGCTGTGCGCAATTGGCTGCTGTGTTTCGCCCAGAAATATACAGTCAATTCACTTTACAGTGTAATCTGTGAATCGATTTGAAACATCTTGAAGTAATGAAAAGTGCTATATCAAATGTAAGGATTATTATTATTGAGCAACATCTTTAAGGACAAATTTCCTCTCGAAAATCTCTCCATCTTGCATCCTCTCTACCTCTGTTTTCAAAACCCTTCTAAAAACATTAGAACTATAGACATTTACAGCACAAAAGAAGGCCATTCGACTCAATCTCCCTGCCCTTTTAAGTAAAATCCATTTATCTGCCCTTTCCCCATACCCCTGAAGCTTACTCCTTGACTGAGTCTCTCATCAAATCCCTACCTCCCACCCTACTCAGGCTCCCACTTGTCTCTGTAAAGCACTTGATATGTTTTCCTATGTCAAAGTTGCTACGTAAGTGTAAGTTGATGTTGTTATGCATAGTTCCTTCCTGAACTTAGATCATCTTTTTCAGGACAGCAGAATGGAGCAGTGACACTGAAGGAACGTCAAATAGGTGAATCCCCTTCAGCTCGCATGCTCCACAGAACAGGAATCTCTACAATTGTCTTCCACTTACCAAAATATTACTGCTGGTCATGCAGCATTTATTCCTCTCCCCCGCACTTTGAAAGAAACTTCAATTTAAAGGCAATTACTGGAAGTCAGGTAGAAAGTAGAGGCCAAACCCCTTTAATTGGAAGATATTTAGGTATGAAGAGATTTTTCTCTCTCCTGTATATCAATATGTCTGAAAGCACAGACAATATGGATATGCAGTTTCTTCCAAAGCAGGTAATATCAAATATTTTATTTGAGTGAGTGATAGAGGAGTGGAGATATGATGACAGTGAACACCATACTACAGCAAACACTGCATTGTTGGGGTTACTTTTAGGTTTTAAACATATTAAATATTTAAATCTATTAAATATTTTATTTGATATTGATCAATGCAAATACTATTTTATCTACATCTTTAGAAGCGGGAATTTGTATTTGTAATAAGGGTAGGTTGGGCACAAAGATAGACTTTAAATCAAATATTATGTGCTCCTATCTCAGACTGGTTGTAAAATTCAAAAATAATTATGGAAAAAGATTCCAATTAAGAATGATTATTTAGCGATTTATTACAATAAATATTAACACTAGTTAGTAATCAATATCTGTAAATTTTATATTCAGCATAAAAGGGTGTTGCATTTCTAAGCTTATACCTTTATATAGTTGAACTTTTTTACTGTAAAGTCTAGTCACTGTATTTTGTAGACAAACATAAAAGACAATTTGAGTACAGCAATGCCCCTCAAGTGCATTGAATGATCAATTTTATCTGAATTATTGACCAGAAGAAACCCATTTCTCTTTTCAACCATGGGATCTTTAGTTTTTACAGTACATAAAAAAATCTTGAGGCTGTGGTTAGATGACATGGAAGTTGCTTGTATGAGAGAAGGTACAAAGGGAAATTTGTACTAAAAAGTACTAAAGATTGCAAATTCTGGAGTAAATTAGTCATCGAGCTAAAGGATATCTGCTTGTGGGGACTGTGACAGAAAAGAGTTTGAAGATTGAGTTATTCACATGGACCTAAGGGGGAGGAACTAGTTGCTGTTGACACAATAACTTAAAAGGAAGAGGCATGGAGTGCACAGAACAAAGTGGGCACAACACATTTCCAGACGATTCAAGGCAGAATTATTGCATTTACTGGGCGGAGTTTAATTTTGTCATGGGTTACTAAATTAGAAGGTTTTTTTATAATATTATTTATGTTTTGTTTTCTTTTAGCTGCTTTTTAACCGCATTAGAAAAAAAAGCATGTTCTTCCCAAGCCTGGATCAAATAAGGATGTTAATCTTTCACTGCTGATTTCACACCTAATTCTGCATTCTTCTTCACAGCCACTTCAACTCTTAACCCGATGTAGCCTTAACAGTGCTCCCACTTCATTTCATTGACCGGGCTGTTAAACTGCGAGAGTGAAAAAGGCAGAGATAACAAGTGAAACACTATACAAACTGAAACAGGGTCTGACAAGAGCTTACTAACAAATCATTTCTGTATGGAATTCCAGTTACATGGCATCAGTTACCATGTAAAGGTTAATACTGATGTTTCTGTAACCTAAAAGTAACCCCAACGATGCAGTGTTTGCTGTAGTATGGTGTTCACTGTCATCATATCTCCACTCCTCTATCACTCACTCTGTAATAAACCCAAAATGAATATCTAGATCTTCAGGAAGAGTGGATGGCTCCCTCCTTGTTATTTTAAACAGTGTATTAACACATATTGGTCAGTATGGACAACATTACATTGGGAAATCCTGGATCCTGGTTAAAAACAACATGAAGCTCCATCAATTTCCAGTGTATAAAGCTAGAACTGCCCTGTAACAATCAGAGGTCTGATGTTCTTTGCCTGAAGATCTGAAATTTATAGCACACAGAATTTTGGGGAAAAAATTCACTTTCATTGTGATTTCTAAGACAGTTATTTTCAAATATTGTGAGAAATCCGCATCCAAATCAAAACTGAATTGAATTCAATTCTAGATAATCTTAAATTTTAAAACAAAATGCCAAGAAAAGGTTAAACTTCCAGGCTTAGAATGTGTGTTTTGCTCTTTGCTATTATATCTTTCAACAAATGGTTTGTACCGACAAAAATATATATATAAAATGCCTATTTGATGCCTTTATTGAAGCTCACTGCTTTGGCTGAGGAGGCATCAAGTGAAGATTTACCTGCTAGTGTATCACTGAAAATGAGGGACTACCTACTTGACCTGGAGTTGATCCTCAGCGTTGTTGGGTCAAACTACAAGAAAAACATCTGGATAAGCAAAGGCTCTTTAACTTTCTTTTTCAACCGTACCTATGGAATTCAAGTTGAACTTTTTCTAAAAATACATAATAGTTCCTATATTTCATATAGCATCATTCACGTTAAGACATTGTTTCAAAGAGCTTCACAGGATATATTGTAAAGTGAAGTGACTATATATTTTGTACGCGAACGGAGAGGCCAATTTGCACACAGCAATGTCCCACAAACAGCCATGAAGTGAATGATCAATTTTATTTGGTGGATTGTTGACTAGCTCACTGTGGTTGAAGTCCAATTATCACCTGATCTAAAATACATGTTGTTGTGTTGGAGATAACATTGGGTTTGTTGCCATTCTCATTGCCATTTGTTGTATCATTAATCTTTTTTTAACCACTGTGATGTCTTAAAAGCTTTTCCTCAATCACTGATTGTTTGGCTATCATGTTAATTGGGAAAGCACCCACCTTTCAGATAAATCTCTTGCAATTGATCACAAGTGCAGTAGCTCAAGTCTAACGTTCTCAATTAGATGGAGCTGATGTCTAGATTGCTTTTGGTTTTCTACCTCTGCACTTTCGACACTTCTTTTTAAAACAAAAAAACTCTTCCCCACAGGTTTTTCTGAAAGCTGCCATCTCACTTGCAGACTACACTTCTGCAGCTGCCACAGTCTTTTTGATTGACAGGTTTGTGTACTGGGTTGATGCGTCCAGCAAACTTCTGCAGGTTGCCAAGGGTCTCCACAAGCGTTGCCTTGCAACACCAATTGCGCCACAGGTGGTTCTTCGCCAGGCTCGAGTCTCTGTAAATTCAGGTGACGTAACTCCCTGTTGATCTTTGTCTGCCTCTGTGGCTAAACTCCAATTAACAACCACTTGACTAATCTAGAGGACATTTTGTTCCATTGGGAGGAATGGCATTCCACTGAGAGCATAGTGCCATCTTTTCAAACCCAACTCTGACCCTGATGAACAGACACAAAGGCTCCCAAAGAAAGGGATTTAGAGCCAAAAGGGTCGGGTGATTGTGAATGGGGTGGAAAACACTAATTGGTACCTTTGTTCCCTCATAAATGTACCCTGCCGATTTCAAACGGGAGCTGCCTGAATTGCTATACTCCCGATCAGTGATTATTAAGAATTTAATAAAATAGATTAGCATTCTGGCACTCTTTCGCTTCTGTCCCTATCTCTTTCATCGTCTCCACTATTTTTTCAGGATAGCCACTTGACTATGCAAACAATACAGCTGTTGGCTGGTTGAAGTAACCCGATCTGTTTCATTACGCTCTGCAGCTACCTGAATCACATAAAGTGTTCACCGCTTTGTTGTTCCAATACGCTGCTGAATTGCCAAGTGTATGGCGTCAATAATGAGCACTGCTGTTTTAGTTTTTAGAGATTGTTAGCTATGATTTACCATTGTCCAGCGTAATGGCATGTGGAAGACGACTACGATAACACAATGAAAAGTGCTTTAGGACTCCCTTTAATTTATATTAAACGTACTGACTTGTAAAGAGGGAATTGAAAATAATTGTATTACAACCAATTGCTGGAATTGAAGTTACTTCAAAGAACTACTGAGGAAAGCAATAATTTGAAGTTTGTTTTTTAAAAAGATATTGGAATATCTATTGAATATTTAATTTTTGAAGCAAAACGTCGATTAATCAAAAAGGAATTAGATAGATACTTAAAAAGGCAAATTTTGCACGGCTATGGGGTAAGAGCAGGGGAGTGGGACTAGTTCGTAGGTCTTTCAATAAGCCGGCACAGGCATGATGGGCCAAATTGTGATGAAAACTTTATTTTCTAACAGGAAATTTGGGGACATCATGCTGACTTGCGAGACCGGTTGCCAAGAATGGTGGATCAGAGATGAGGTCTCGCAAGTTGACGTGATTTATTAGAAGGGAGGGAGAGACAAAAGGGGGATTCACTTGAGAAAGTTCAGTTTACATCACGGGCACTGTTTCCAGTGGTGCCGTGAAGGTTATGCCAATTGTTCTCTTTGCAACTTTTAGGATTCAAAAAAATCGATTTTAACGATTTTACCAATTATTTAGCTATTCAGCAAAAAATTAATTCTATCTTTTAAAAAAATTTGGCAATCGTTGTGCAATATTATACAAAAGTTAATTTTTTGTAGGAATCTTAAGTCTGGTTTGGATACTCAAGTCCGTCAGTGGGTTCCAAGCGCTCTGGGATACTACGTTGTGTGAAGGGCGCTATATAAATGTAAGTTGTTGTTTGGTGGTGGTGGTGTGTGACAGACGATTTGAGCAGACTAAAAATCATTGCCTTCACACTTCCAAAATCTGGCTAGGTTTAAAGACTAAAATAAAAGCATTATTTGTTGTTGGGGGCACTAAATTAGATATTTTTCGAAAAAAAAATTAAATTCCCTATCTGCTGTTTGGTCCCTTCAGCTGCCTTCCCAGGAATCCCATAGATTCCCTTGGAATAGGAATCACACATTTAGTGTTGATGTGTTGTGTTCGCAAGATCACAAAGAGGTTCAGATGAAGAACCTCTTTCTTCTAGAATATCCACTACCAACTCATTTTCCCATGATACCATCAAGTTGTTTCTTAAACGAGGCCAATGTCTGACTTTTACTGTCCTGCCTTACCCAATGCAGCTGTCAATTCCTCACGAAAAAAATACTTCCTTCACTTTATTTTGTGCCCTCTTGTTCTGCTACCTGGGTGTATTTCTTAAACGAGGCAATTGTAATGAATTTTGTTGCACAATAAATTGTACTATATGTAATATAGTAAGTACTAAACATATACCAAATATAGTAAGTACTAAACATATATCATTTTACACTGTACAGACCTTTGTTCAGCTCCTGCTGAAAATGCTAGCCATGCTCGCAACTTAGTGGCAGTGCAGGAGTTTTCAGCAGTCTCCAAAACCCTATTGAATAAAGAGCAGCTTGGATGTACATAACTTCAAAGGTTTAGCCCTCATTATTACACTGGAGCACAGAGGCTCCATACATTGCTCCATACAGAAACATTTGAGTGTTATTGTTGAATGCTTTTTAACTTGAGTGCAATTTTTAAATTTCCAACAGGTAAACTTCTGAAAGCCGAATACATCCTGAGCAGCCTCATAAATAACACCGGGGCAACAGGTTAGTGATCATTTCGAGCTAACAATTAGTGATTGATGGAATCAATAAACTATGCTTTAGATTTCCACCATCTAGTCTTTGATCCTCTCTCTGCTCAGCTTCAATTGAAGTGCTGAAGAATACAAGACATTGAGCCAAAGTATCTTGGACAGATGTTCATACATATTGCTGTAAACGGATAGAAAATGAAAACACACAGTAATAATAATCCTTGCATTTGATATAGCAACTTATTTCATTATTGAGAATTCTCAAAGCGCTTCACAGAATGTACTGCAAAGTGAATTGACTGTATATTTTGTAGCCGAAATGTGACAATTGCGCACAGCAGTGTCCCACAAACAGTCATGGGGATTGAATTATCTTCCGGGGTTAGAAATTTTTTTTTCAGAGCTAAGGTGAGCATAGATTTTGTCCTTCTTCACTACTTTGTGGCTGAAAATTAATTATGGAATAAAAAAACAAAGTTACATGCTGTTCTAGCTGCTATAATTCCAGATTGTAATCTCTTAGCCTCATTGGTTAATAAATAAAGTTTGGACCCTGCAGTCTTGTAAAGAGACGTCTCAGAAGGGACCTTAGTGGTGTATAAGATTTCAAATGGGTATGAGAACGAAAACTCAGAACAATATTTTTGGATGCACCAAGACAGCAGAACAAGGATGGGTGAGACCAGGACACTAGACTCATTCAAAGAACAGCTTGTTGCTGTCATGGGAGGATAGTAGAGTGGGTCTCCAGGAAAGATGAGGTCAACTGAGCTGAAGAGCTTTCTTCATCCAAACCAATCTTGGTATCTTGTGATTTTACCCAAGACTGACTGAACTTTAAAAAAAGTGAGCAGTTATTCTGCACTCCAGGCTGTTGTTTAATTTTAAGGAAAAAGCGATCATAAATGATGTCCTTGTAATAATTGTTGCTGCTGAAATTTATCGCATGATGATAATTATCCTTTTAAACAGTATAAACCCAACAAACTTATCCCATATATTCTTTCATAACTAGTGGATAATCAAATACATTCCCTCTAAACATGGAAAAAATGCATTTGGAATTATCTTATTTGGTGTTTTCTTTAATTGTTCACATTGTTATCTGCAGGAACTTGGGTCTATGAGAAACAAAGTGACTGTGTACTTGTCCAGGCTGTTAGTCTTCAGATCAGGGGACAGATTCTGCAGAAACTCGGTAAGATTGAAGTGAAATGTATGGATTTTGAGTCATTAGTGCTCTATTGGAGAAGGTGCTTATCTATCCTGTAGGTTAGGCATCATCTATGGAGAGAAGAAAATGAATTAATGTTTTAGTTCTATGACCCTTCATCAGAAAAGTCTGACGAAAGGTCACAGACCTGAAACGTTAACTAATTTTCCTCTCTCCTCAGATGCCTCCTGACCTGTTGCATTCCCAGCGACCTCTGTTTTTATTTCATATTTCCAGTGTCTGTAGTATTTTGCCTTTTGCTTATCTTGATGGAATGAGGAGAATGAGGAGTCAATATTGTTATAAAGTGGTCTCATTGACCACGTTTATCAGTGATATGATGCTTATCATTGGTGACATCTAAAACATTGCAAGTCCCAAATTTCACCACTTTAGATATAGGAAGGAGAAGGCCAGTTTTGCAAAGATTTACAAATGCAATTGAGTGTTTTCTTCATTCTTGATCCAAATGTTATTTGCAATTAGAACATACAAGCTGAATCTCTGCCACAATGTTCTGATTCTTGAATGAGACATAATTAAGAGGTTTAATAAAGAGATCTAGACATAATTTCTTAGAAGCCTATTTTGAAGCTAATTTGCTCCAGCCAAGCCCTACAATCATTAATTTTGAAACATGATAACTTCACTTTTTTCTAAATGTTTTGCACACAAAATAAAACTTGCTTCTGCTTTGTAGATGACAAGGAATAATATGATGTGTTCACTCGGGGACAGAGAGTGGGATTTGTGCTGTATTTACAGTGATTGTATGTGCTGTGAGGTAACATTCATGTTCAGAGCAAAAGCATGGAGCCTCTTAATATTTTTGTGTTACTTTTTCTGGTGATTTCCAGGATTATGGTATGAAGCTGCGGAGTTGACCTGGGCTTCTATAGTGGGGTTTTATGAACTTCCTCACCCGGATAAAAAGGTTTGTTGGTAATAAGTTTTATTAATAATAATAATTCTTGCATTTGAAATAACGACTATCATTTCAAGAAGACATCTCAAAACACTTCACAGTAATTTGCTGTCAAGTGTAGTAATTCTGCATTTTGTAGGCAAACAGGAAACCTGACAGAATTTCCATCCTCCTTTCCCTAAGACAAAATGTGGGCACAGCAAAGGAATGAACAAGGTTGACATCTGTATTGTAAATTGGTGCTAAAAATGTCTCTATAAATGTATAAATGTATTTATAATTACAGGGAATTTCCACTTCATTGGGAATCCTGGCTGATATCCTGGTTTCAATGAGTGATAAGGATTACAACCGATTTAAACATCATCTTCAGACGGACTTGGTAAAGAATTGCTAGCCCTGAAATCCGGACTGTTTCATATAAAATCCAAGGGGTTTTAAAGTATTGGGACCGTGCTGTGGTGCCAGCAATTAGACTGCTGATAAATAGCAAGATCATAATCAGCTGGTCTGGCCTGCTCCACCATTTGAACAATTGTTGTTGTAGAATGGGATTGAAAAAGTAAACCCAGATCAATACTTCGGGATGCAATGAGTTAGTAGAATATGAGGACATAGGTTTAAAGTTGTAAAGGACAGTTTCAGGACAGATGCCAGGAAGCTTTTCTTTACTCCAAGCGTAATCAATGAGTGGAACAGGTTACCAGGAAAGGTGGTGGAAGTTAGGTCACTGGATTCATTTAAAAAGCAGCTCGATGCAGTAATGGAGGGATGGTAGGGTGGGTGTTCTGGAGGCATGAGATTGGTTGGTTTGAAAGGCCTCCTTCATCCAAACAATCTTGTGAATGGATATTTTAAAGCCTATTCAAAATCAAAAGGAACTTTTCACAGGAAACCTTTTTCTGTTGAGTAATTATAAAGATGGGGCTGACATCAGTAGCACAAGTTCTAATGTTTGTTAGGAGATTCAGGAACCTTATCTGTGCACTGTAGCCAACAGGATGTCTATTGGCTTCCCTTAAATTTTCTAACATAATAATCCTTGCATTTGATATTATGCCTTATCATATTGTGGAGATGTCTAAAAGCACTTCATAGGATTTTACTGTGAAGTTTATAATTACTGGGTATTTGTAGAGTTGAGTTGAAACTTCCCTGAAATCACGCATTTTGTTATTCATGAAATATTATAACCTGCGACACAAAGGTACAGTTGTCTCAGTAGTTGAGGTAACTCCGCCTGATTTGCCTTTTCCAGATTCTGCTGGAGGAATGTGCTCATCGATTGCTGTCAGCCGCAGAAGCAGCTAAATTGGCTGCTGTGCTCAGTCAATACAACCCACTCTTTGTCCTCACAAACATGGTGAGTATGGTATTAACTGTGGGGCCTGTTATTCATTTGTGAGTTTTGACAGTAAGTGTTGGAAAGATTTCCAATGTTGGGGACTATCAGAGCCCAGCCCAATCCTGGTCTCAACCAACATTACACACCTTCCAGCATTGGTTTTGGATAGTGATTAAGAGCAGAGAGATTGACTGATCCTCTCTAACCCAGAACAAACTGTACAGCCCATCTGTTTTCCTCGGTATGCATGATAACTTCATGACTGATCTGTATCAGAGTTCTCTTTCGAATGAGGGACCTGACAAGCTAATTTCCAAATATTAAGAAAAAAGGTCCCTTTCATTAAAAAGATTTGGAAACTGATTTAATGTGGTAGCTGACCTGGATCACCCAAATTGGGAAAGCATAAACAACAACAAAAACAATATTACATTTGTGTAGCACCTTTTACGTCAGGAGGAAATCTCAAGGCGCTGGACAGTCAGTGTTTAGGACCCTGCCAATTAGCTTCCAAGCCACTCCATGGCTCCCATCCCTTTCACTACAGTTAGTGCATGTTTTCTACTGATTCATTGATTCCATCTTCTATAAGAGTTTCCATTGTTTTTGATAATTATTTTGCATATTGCAATAAAAAACAGACCCTCCCCCACCCCACCCCCACCCACTGTCTCTCCAAAAAAAACAAAGCTTACAAAGCTTGAAAATGTTTACATTATTTGAATATAATTATGATCAGTTTGATAGATTTTACCTTTGACCGGTTGAGGACATAAATGTTGCCTGATTATGGAATGAATACCCTAAACTTTTACCAGAACAACATCAATGAAATTATGAAATTGCTTCAGTTTGAACTCATTTCTCTCTCCAGAACATTTGTGGAACATGTCTTCTGTCATACAGTTTTAAGAATGAATGCCCGGAGGAAAAACAGTGTTACCTTTCACAAGCAAAAGAGGCCTTTGAAATAGGCCTTCTTACCAAGAGAGATGGTGAAGTGGTCACTAGTATGCAAGAGCTGCATGGACTTGTTAAAGCAGCTTTCTCTCTTGCAACTGTGCAAAAATGGCTCACAGGAGACTGTGAAAGACATAAAAAGATGAGACAGATGTGTAAAGAAGCCATGCAGAAGCTGTACCTGTATAGCGCTCAAGCTCAGGAAACCTTGGCAGGGGAAATCATGACACTGGTCAACAAAATCAAAGTGCATTTACAGATAAAAGATCTCTGTAATTCTGACAGCAAGTCCTATGTCCCAGACCACTACACAATATATTGGGATAAGCCCATAGTCAAGGGAAGGATGACCTTTAACAAGGTCCTTGAAAAACATTCACAATATCACACGACAATATGTACGGTATTTCAAAATGCTTGCAGAAAAGGAAAAGATAACAGTGAGGCCTCGGCGTATGCCTGTATCACTGCTTTGAAAACCGATACAAAGGAACTTGATACTGCAGTTTCTAAATCAAACGCACCCCATCCCAGAGGACTTGTTCTTCCACCGCATCCTGTGCCTAAAGGGCCAATCGACAGGCAACACGGTGGAAAAGTGCAGCAAGTGAGAAGCAAATCAACTGCAAGCAAATCCGAGAAACAAAATACAGACCCCTCGGAAGACAGTGGATCTCCCCATTGCTCTTTAGGAAATGACCCACCAAATGTGTCAACAGATGCCAAAGCAGAATGTGAAAATTTAATGCCAGAGTACAGAGACAGTGACAACAAAGATTGTCTGAAGTTCCAGAGTGACAACCAAGGCTACTCTGCAGAATCCTGGATGAGAGTATCAGGCTCAGAATCTCCCAACAGCTGGGAGAAAGTAACCAGCAATGAATGCTGTAGTTTGTCTCGGGTTGGAGAGAATCAACGTCTGCGCACTTTGGACACACAGTGCTCCACAGCCTTGACTGAGGATGTTGGGGAGCAACAGCCAAACAGCCACAATCAAGACATCAAAGGTTCTCATTTACAAAATAGTACCTTGCAGTCAATCACTCAACCGGTCTCTCAGTTATCTTTACAGCATGGAGTTAGCCCCTCTTCTGCCTGCTCTATTGGCGATTTTAGTGCAGAAAAAGTGAAGAAAAGCCTTTCGTCTTCCTCCTCGAGAGAATCTGGGTCATTTGAAATGGTGAACTTTACTGCTAAGTCTACACATAAGAACAATGAGAGTAAGGACATGGGTCTGTGTATAAAGATCTCTGATCAAAGTTCTCACTTTCCATCTACCTCTGACCCAAATCATACAACCAGCAATAAAGATTCCCCTGCTGTGAGTGTTCGGAAAACCAATTCATCATTTTCACGAGAAACTGGCTCATTTGAGATGGTTGACCCAGCCATAGAAAGTGCTGATGCTTTTGAAGGTGATATCAATAACAAGATGCTTCTAAACGCCAGTAAACATGGGCACGTTCAGTCTTCCTGTAGTTCTCAACCAGGTTCCAGCATGGCAAATACCATCTCAGTTGGCATAAATGTTGCAAGGCTTTCCAAGATGCAAAATGGATCCTTATCAGAGAAAAGCAGCTCTTTTGAATCATTGGTTGACTCTGCAGCAGACACTGTTGCAGACACAGAAGAAAGCACCAGCAACAGTAATCTTCCAACCACAGCAGGAGTATTTGAGATCTTACCTAAATACTTAGATAATGGCGGCAAGGAGCAGGAGAACCAAAAGCACTGTGACGACCAAAGAAACAAGAGCTCTGCTCAATGCCTGCCTCCAAAGGAAGCAAACAAAGATTGCAATGAAACAGCATCAACAGAAGCAGACAGTGAAGATGAGGGGGACAGGTTGAATAACCAAGTTCTCAACAGGAGTCATAACTCCAGCTCCTCTTTTCAATCATGGTGCAAATCACCATTTTTTTCCAGCAGCGGCTCAGATCTTGACTATATGAGTGTTTCTCTGAGTTCGAGTAGCATATCCTTTGAGTATCTTTCAAAGAGGAACCAGACATTTGAGAGACGTGTTTTAACAGAAGCAGATTACAAAAGGTTCTTCGCAGGCATAAATCACGACAGTTTGATACAGCGACTTAAAGGAACTGGAGTCTTTCCCCCTGATGAACTTAAAAATGTCTACAGTAAGTTAGTTATACACCTTTATTTATCAAACAGGAAAGGGTGAATCTTAATTGAATTAAACTAGTTTCCACTATAAAGTCTCTTAAAATTCTTCTCTCAGAATGAATAGACAAATTACTGTGGGGGCTTGATGGAGGCATTTAAAATGTTGTCACATTTAGAACATTTAAGTGGAGCTATGTTTATTGCCATGTAGAAAATTTAAGAACATAGGGGTTATAGCTTCAAAAGGACAATTCCAAAAGTGCTCAGTTGGTAGCACTCTCGGCTCTGAGCCAAAAGGTTGTGGATTCAAGCCTCACATCGGAATATTGAGCTCATAATCGAGGCTGACACTCCATTGCAGTGCTGGGGTGTGTTGTCAGAGTTGCTGTCCTTTGGATGAGATGTCAAACGATGTCCCAGGTGGATATGAAAGCTTATTTGAAAAAAGAAGGGAGTTTCTCTCAGGCATGCTCCCCAGTTTCTTTAAACTGGTCATTCATTTTGTGGCCCTTTTGTGGGACATTGCTATGCACAACTCCTGTGAAACCTATAACGCAAAGCCCTAATGGGTAGGGTGGTCCTAGCTGAATGAGCAGCGGGAAAGCTTGCCAGGCAGTGCTCTCAATGGCAAGCTATGTGATTTTAGCTGGTGAGACTCTGGAGTACCCAAACTCGCACTTTGGGGTCCCCAATCCTTTCCTCTTACTACCCTATACCTAATACTTTCTGGAATTAGGTAAGCAAGATATGTCCCTCCAGGGAGAGTGCACATTTCCATTCCAGTAAACATCTCTGGAATTTCCATGTGTAGGTGAGATGCATGGAATTTTCAGCTTGGCTTGGATACTCTGAAGCATGGTGATTGGGTTTCTGAATGTGTCAGATACCCAGCAGACCAAAAACAAAATCTTTTTCTACATTTGTACTTGATTGTGAAAATCTAACATTGTGTTTTCACAGCGGCTCTGCTGTTTAAATATGGTAAGAAAACAGACACTTGGACAGCTCAGGAAACATTGGTTTATATTGGGAAGCCTTTTTCTGTTGAAAAAGCGGGAGCCCAGAGGACTGCTTTGGAAATACGCTTCCTACATCAGGAACAAATACTGGGAAGGTACTTATCCTTACATCATTTATAGTTTCCTTCTTCTTTCTTTCCTTCTCATTCAGAACTCTGCAGCTCGTGTACTGTCCCGCACCAGGCTTCGGGACCACATCACTCCCACCCTCGCTCGCCTCCACTGGCTCCCCATCCCCCAGAGGATTGATTTCAAGATCCTCATCCTCACCTACAAGGCCATTCACGGCCTTGCTCCCTCCTACCTCTCCAACCTACTATCCCCCTACCTACCTGCCCGTACCCTCCGTTCCTCTGGCTCCGGTCTGCTCCACGTCCCCCGCCCCAACCGCCCTACCATCGCTGGTCGGGCCTTCAGCCTCTCAGCCCCCAGGCTCTGGAACTCCATCCCCCAGTGCCTTCGCCTTGCTTCCTCCCTTTCCTCCTTCAAGGCCGGTCTCAAAACCTTTCTCTTTGACCGTGCCTTCAGCTCCCCTCTCGACTCTCTACCCCCTCCTCGCTCCCTCCCCTCCCCTCACCCTGACCATTTACCCGCTCCTCGCTCCCTCCCTTCCCTCCCCTCACCATTTCCCCCCTCCTCGCTCCCTCCCTTCCCTCCCCTCACCCTGACCATTTCCCCCCTGCTCGGGTCATGACCCAACTGTGCAGCGCCTTGGGACGTCCTCCTGACGTGAAAGGCGCTTTATAAATGGAATCTTGTTGTTGTTGTTGTTCTTCACACCTCATATTCGAATCCCCCTCAAAAAAAACTTCTCCTCCAGCAGGCAGTGCTGGCTTACTGGGGTCTAATTTGCAATATTTGCAAAATGATTTGTAAGTAGCAAATCCTGGAAATATGCAGGTGAGATCAACCTTCTGGATTTCCACTTGGACACAAGCTCAATTTTGACATTCATGAAACCAAAATATAATCTTGTCACTGGCAGGAGATTGGCCCAAGTTGTTGCCCACGGGGAATTCCAGAGGATTGATGTTGAAAAAGATCTTTGAGATCAACCTTTAGGTAAAGTGATTTGGAATGGTCAAGCAAGGCAAAGAGGTCTGCAATACATCAATTGCCAAACATAGCAAAAAAAAATCCTTATGTCATTTAGTTTGAAGCCTGACTAAGAACAGATCAAAATGACCTTAACTGTGTCAAGCGGCCTTGCAACTAAAACTACCCTTTTTGCTCGTTGGGATTTTAGTCTACTGAGAACTCACAGAAACACGGTTTCTGTTTGCTAGTTCCAGAATTTGCAATACATCTAATGGAGCTAAAAAATACTGCTATACTGTTTACTCCCAACATCCTCCCCCACCCCCGGGCCAAGTCATCGCAAGTAAAAAAAAAATTATACCCATGACTTTCGCCATGACATGTAAAGAGCCCATAGCTTTTGCTTCGAAGCTGCCTTATACCCGTAATTATTGAGGAGACTCATAAGAGACAAAGATAACAAAATATTTAAGATCAATGCCAGGGAAAGCATATAGTTCTTCTTTTAGTTTTGCCTACACCAATTCATTTCTTCTGCCTATACCTTCCCCTTTAAAATCATGTGAGCTGATCTCTTCAGATGGTTTCTGAGATCCTATAAATGCAAAATCATATAGTTGCCCAATTCAAAGAGAGGTACAGTCCTGTTCCACTCTGCAGTAGATTCTCATTCAATTGAGTGTGCTGTACATATTCTACACTATAAGTAATTCTTCTGCCAAATATTTTTGTCTTGCCAATCCAGGTATGTTGGAAAGCAATATAAAAAGACAAAGGAACTGTCTTACCACTTCAACGATGTTGAGCGGCAGATGACTGCACAATATTATGTAACGGAATTCAACAAAAAACTGTACGAGCAGCAGGTTCCCACACAGATCTACTATATCCCAGCAACTGTCCTTATGGTAAGGCCAGCAACATCATGGAATGTGTGCAGAATGATGGGGCCCAGATTTATATTCAAAACAAATTCTTGTACAAAATGTACAGATCTTGGATTTACTTAAGAGATTCCTAAGAGGTTTACATAAATATTATGGGATCCTCCAATGGTTTTAATTTTTTTTAAACTCTAAAGGGTGAAGGGCTCACAAAACATGCAGTCACTACAGTTTACAGTACATCCTGTGATGCACTCTGAGGTGTCCTCCCATTGTGAAAGATACTATACCAAATATAAGGATTATTATTAGCATTATCTGCTTCAATCCCCATTTTGGGCAGTGAGTTTTACATTCTCAATATCCTCTGCATGAAAAAATTCCTCCTAAATTCTCTTTTAGATCCCCTAGTTGCTACCTTATATTTGTGTCCCCTGGTTACCGACCTGCCAACAAATGGGAACAGCCTCTATATGTTAACCTTATCAAACCCTTTTATTATTTTAAACACCGCTGTTAGGTCCCCTCTTAAACGTCTCTTCTCTAGTGACAAAAGACCTATTAGGATTGCATAGAGAGGAGTAGCACTTTATGTCCACCACAAAGACTGACATTTAGACTGACATTTTCCAAACAAATGCTTTTTGAACGCCTTTTTTGAAATTACATTGGTCTAAAAACATAGGAACAGAGGAGGCAATTCAGCCCTTCGAGCCTGTTCTGCCGTTTAATTAGAACATGGTTGATCTGTACCTCAACTAATCTTTTCAATTCCAATTTCCCGCATTCTCCCCATATCCCTTAATACTCTGTCCCTGATGATGGATTCTAATATTTTCCCTAAACCTGACGTTAAGCTGACAGGTCTGTAGTTTCCTGGTTTCTCCCTCCTTCCCTTCTTAATAAAGGGGTGACATTCGCAATTTTCCAATCTAAGGGCACAATTCCCGAATCTAGTGTGCTTTGGAAAATTATGGCGAATGCATCTGCAATTCCGCTCCTAATTCCTTTAACACCCTGGGATGGAAACTATCAGGTCCTGAAGATTTGTCGATCTTGAGTCTCATTATTTTCTCCATTACCATTTATTGATTTATATTAATTCTATTAAGCATTTCTCTTTGACTTATTTTTAGGTTCCCCTGCATGGCTGGTATTTTGTCCTATCCTTTACCCAGTAGCAAAGCATTTATTTAACAAGTCAGCCATTTCCTTATTTTCCGTTATAGTCTCACCTACTTTAACGGACCCACATTCCACATTGCCCTTGAACCATTCTCTTTTAATATATTTATAAAAGCTTTTACTATTGGTTTTAATATCCCTTACAAGTTTCTTTTTCATACTCCCTTTTTGCTCCTCTTGTTACTATCTTGGTATCCCTGTGTTCTCCTTTTGTAGTTCTCCTAGTCCTCTGCATTCCCACTTTTTCTTGCTTTTGAGTAAACCTTTTCTTTTAGCTTGATATAGTCTCTAACCTCTTTTGTCCACCATGGTTGCTTAACTACAGGATTGGATCTTTTGCATTTTAGGGTATGTACATGTTCTGTATTGTTTCAAATACTTTTTTGAATACTTCCCATTGTTCATCTGCAGGTTTACCCACTAACAGTTCAGCCCAGTTTACTGTAGTCAATATATTTCTCATTCCATCGAAGTTTGCCTTACTTAAATTTAAAACCTTGGTTTGGGACTCTCCTTTTTCCCTCTCAAATCCAATGTCAAATTCAATCATATAATGATCACTATACGCAAAATGTTCCCTTATGGTCAGATTGTTAACGAGTTCTGGCTCATTACCCATCACCAAATCCAGTATGGCTTGTTCCCTTGTTGGTTCTAAAACATATTGTTCCAAAAAACTATCCTGAATACGTTCTAGAAATTCATTGCCTTTACTAACTGAGGAATCCTGCTTCTCCCAGTCTATGTGAAAATTAAAATCTCCCATTATAACCACATTGCTTTTGCTACATGCTTCCCTGATCTCCGTATTTATACATTTCCCCACTACATCACAACTCTGGAGGTCTGTAGAGTCTTACCTCCTTTGCTGTTCCTTAATTCTACCCACAGTGTTTCCACTACCCGATCGCCCTAACTGAAATCTTTCCTTTCCACTGCTGTAAAAGTGTCTTTTATCAATATTGCTACTCCTCCTCCTTTCCCAATGTCCCTGTCTTTTCTAAAGATCTTTTACCTGGAATATTTAGCTCCCAGTCCTGCCCAGCTTGTAACCAGGTCTCTGTAATGGCAACTACATTATACCCTTTAAGCTGAATTTGTGCTTCTAACTCACTTCTTTTATTTCTTATGCTACATGTATTTGTATACATAGCTCTTATTTGGGTAACTGTCCCCAACATGCCTATACTCCCTGACGATGTTCTTCTCACATATTTTGACTTGTTTCACCTTTCTGATAACTTCCTATTACTTTTTATTTTGTGTAATATTTATGTTATCTTTATCACTATTTGTATTCTGACCTTTGCTCTCATCCTCTCCTTGCCTTATGTTTTAGTTTTCACCCACACCAGTGTTTCAGCCACACATTAATTTCCCTAATCTGCTTATCTCTATGCCAATTTGCACGTGGCTCGGGTAGCAACCCAGAGATTATCACCTTTGAGGTCTGTTTTTTAATTTAACCCCTAGCTCTTGATACTCCCTTAGCAGGACCTCCTTCTTGCTCTTTCCTATGTCATTAGTTCCCACATGGATAACGACAACTGATTCTTATCCCCTCCCTTCCCAAGTTCCTTTCCAGTTGCTTTGAAATATCCCTTACCCTGGCACCGGGAAGGCAACACACACTCCTGGATTCTCGATCCCAACTGCAGACGATACCCTCGATCCCCTTAGTTATTTCATCCCCTATAACTACAACGTTTTTGTTCTGCTCCTCCCCCACTTGCACTGCCTTGTGCTCTTATGGTGCTTTGGTTTGCATTCAGGCCTCCTTCCCCACAGACCCTAACCCTAACACGCACTCCAGATCAAAAACTCTGAGTCGGAGTGACTCAGGACATGTGCACTTTTCACAGATGCTACTATTGGGAACAGTCTTACTGTCCACAAATTCCCACTTACTGCAGCTTTGACACACTACCTGTGTTGCCATTATCCCTTTGTAGCTTCTACTCCACTTAATGTTTAGGATTATTTAATTTACAAGGTATTACCGTCATCTTTTATTTGTTTTTAGTTATTTTCCCGTTAATCTATTTTACCTTTAACAATTTCAGGATAAATAGGTGAAGAAGTAGTTTTGTACCTTTTGTCCCTTGCTCACATTCCTTAATTCTTAACACCTACTCCCTCAGGAATGTTACCGTTGGTCTAAGTTCCCCTGTGTCTAGACCAACTGAAACTCCCATCTTCTACACCTGACTTCACTTTCCGATCTCCCGAAGGCCCCGAAAAGGCTCCCGCACTGAGCTCTTTCACTGGTAGTGTTTCTCCTTTACAAGGAGATCAAAACAAGTTCTTACCTGCACCTCTTTTCCCCTCTGTACCGAATTCCCACTCTCACCAAATTCCTAAACAGAATTCTCACTCTGTTCCACCTCACTCAGTTCCCTCCTCAAGCTGCTGGGCTCTCTGCTCAAGTCAGTGTTATAGTTTAGTCAGTGTCAAAGTTTACACACACTCTCATTAGTATTTTATGTCACAAATGCAAGTAGGAAATAAACTAAACAACAATCTGTTTCTTTTCCTGAATAACTTAGTATTTTATTAGAAAGGACAGCATTTCAATATAAAATGCTTTTACAAATGTGTACTGATCAGTAAACCTGATAATTACTCCTGAATAAGATATGTGTTGTTTGTTTCCCCAGCTTTTGGAAGATGAACAGATTGTGGGTTGTATAAGTGTGGAGCCATATATGCTTGGGGAGTTTGTGAAGCTAACAAACAACACGAACACCGTACGTAGAGAATATGAAGCAACTATGTATGGGCTCGCATTCGGCCATTTTACTTACGAGTTTTCCAAACAAGAAGAAATAGTTGTTGATTTACAAGGTAACCAATTCTGTGCTACACAATGATAGCTGCCTAGTAATTAAACTACAGCACATGGTCATCATTGCTTCATTATTTTTAACCTTCAAAGGATGAGACCTTGAAGCTCCTCCAATGATCCAGTGGATGAAGGCATGGCCGTAGGCTATACAATACTTTTAGTCACGTCAAGTCCTAACTCTTTGACTGCACATTCGGTCATCTTTTTCCTCTCCCCACCTCATCTCCCTTAGCTCCTAGCCCCAGCTCAGGTGCCCAACTGGGAGTGTTGAGAACTTTGAAACAAGATCGTAGGTAAATACTATGTTTCTGGAAGGGAAATACAAAAATATTGTTGGTGTGGACCGTGGATGTTTCTCAAATAAGGCATCCGGCACTAAATAATAGAGACTGGGAAGCATTCAGCCTTAAAAGACTGAGAAGTGGTAGGCAATGAAGACTGAGATGATAAAAGGGTTAACTCCTGGACTGTGCTGATTTGGCTGATCTCACTCCTGAGCTGAAAAGGAAAAATCAGCCAAGCTTCCCACTCCTGATTGGGAATGCTATCCAGAGAACTGTACTGGTGATAGCAAACACTGTATGAGGGGCTCATTGGGGGGAAAGCATGATTTGAGTTATTTTGTTGTTTGTTCATTCATGCATTCGTCACCTCGGCTTGACTACGGAAACTCCCTCCTTGTTGGCCTCTCCAACTCTTCCCTCCACAAGCTGCAGATCATCCAGACTTTGCAGCTCGTGTCCTCTCCCGTACCAGGCTCCATGATCCCATTACCCCCAACCTCGCCCGGCTCCACTGGCTCCCTTTCCTTCAGGATGTAATTCAAAATCGGGATATCCTCCCGACTTGAAAAGCGCTTTACGAATGTAATTTTGTTGTTGTTGTTCACCGTTGTTCTACCTCCTGTTCTGCTTCAAAGAACATGTGGTTTGATTTATCTTTTGTTAAATAATAATTGCATTTGTTATAGCGCCTTGTTTCTAACTATATTCTTACTGCTGCCTCCCCAGGTTGGATCACAGGTGATGGGAAGGGTCTTCTTTACCTCACTGATCCCCAGATTCATTCAGTGGGACATCTTAAAAGGGGGCCAAACTTTGGCAACAAAGGCATTCAATATTTTCTGAACGACCAACATGAAGAATGCAATGAGATCTGTCGCATACTTTCTTTGAACAAATCCTGACTGGAGGGAGTGAGAAAGAAAACCTGCATTGATTAAATTTCTTAATTGCATCCAAACATCTCAAATCACTGTCAGATTTAGTGATTGTCTTTATGAACAAAAGTTTTGAAGAGCTTTGAAAATCTGTCCACTTGTTTTCCTGTTGCAATAAGGGAGATAAATCGACACTTAAGAAGTAAGAGTACTAAGGGACATGGAGAAAAGACGGATTTGACTTCTGTAAGATCCAGAATCCTTCAGGAGAGAGAACACAATGATTGAAGGTAACAAGGTCAACCTTCCATTATTAATCATAATAATAACCTTCCATTAACAAGATCAATCCCAATATCTGTCCCAAGGATTCCTCACTGTTTTGGAGAGGTTGGGGTTGACGAGATCAGACCGGTGTGCTCGACCAATAGAGGTATATAAGGGATGACAGTATGCTCAATGATTTTTTAAAAAAAGAGCAAGTCAAAAGAGCAACAGACTCGCTAACTGCAAGCAACACTTATAGCTGTCCTGGGACGACCTGCTCAAAGTGATGGACCTGCACATGAACAACATTCAGCAAGAGCTCAGGACGCAGATTGGATTACCTGGTGGCGACCAACCCCAGTAAAAGATCACAACTCTGACTCTTCACCAGATTGCGGATTAGATTACCCGTCAGTTCTGAATTACATGTTGCAGTTGTAAGCATAATCTTTAACTACTATATATAACTTTTTACTGCGAGTTAATTAAATAAACGTTGCTTGATTACCTCTCAAGTCTCTGCCTGACTTTAATATCGGGCTCAAAACAAACTCGTGAGCATAGACCTTTGGCTAGGCTGAATGTTGTTTACACCTCATGTTAAAACAATCAATTGAACAATCTTGGTTAAACCCCAACAATAAAATAATAATAATTGTTTTAATGAGTGGACTTTCAACCTATAGCAGATCTTTAATACAGTATATTTTTGCAATGTAACAGGTGAATAAAACATGANTTTTTTTAAAGACAGGCATGGTGCATTCTTGTTATTCGATGCTTTTCTAAATATTCTTTTTGAGAACTGCAAAAAAACAACTTCCAATTTAAGAAATCAATAATTTTCCAAAAAAAATCTGCATAATCTTCAATTTTAAGACTAACTTTTAAGGATATGAGAAGTTTCAGCTCTGGTTTGTTAACCCAAACAAGTAGAGTGCTGTGTTTCTTGTTTCGTTATATAATAATCCTTGCATTTGATATAGCGCCTTAGCACGTCTTCGAGACATCTCAAACCACTTCACAGAATATACTGTAAAGTGTAGTGACTGTGTGTTTTGTGGGTGTTCGTTTGTTTGATTGGCAGTAGTGCCATGGCTGGGTGATTGGCACAACCTATAAGTACAACGGAGTCACGGGAGCGATCACTTAAAGTTGGACTTCTACGTTGCTCTTCCAATGCGTCTACTCAAATCTGACTGGTGAAAAAGATGTAATGTGCTATGATCACTAGCCATGTGAAACAGCTCTTTCTCATTGTTTCCTCAGTGTCACCCCGACCAAAGCCTCTTCTAGTAATCAAGCACAACCTTTTGTTCACTGCTAATAATGTGGAAATTGTATCTCATTCAGCCAACTGATCTTACGTGGCTTTCCTTCATTCTTTACTGTTTAGTCGCGAGCAGCCCCTGAGTGATCAGTCTGACCTTAATCAGCATTGCTTCCAGGAATTAACAATGACCCAGGCAAAGGATCTCGGGTCAATCGATTCCAATCAATGCAGTTTAAGAGAAAGTCAGTCAGCAGTCAACAAGTGTTCTCTTCATCTGTTCTTTTCACTGAAATAATAAGGAAGAATGGTTTATCCATCTAAATATGCCCAATGTTAAAGAAATAATATTCAAACTTGAAATTCTGAGAATCCACTATTTTTGATGGTTTAATTTGTTTTAAGTCGTCAAATTGGGCATTGAAACTTTTAGGAGTAGCTTTGATGTTTGGATGTTAATATGTCCAGAGTGCTGTACGGTGCCCCAGAGTACACATTACTCAGATTTAAGCACAGCATTCCTATTCCAGCAGATACACCATGCTGTGCACAGGAAGGAGCATTGTATAGTCACAGGCTGAGGCAGGTGTCCACAATGCTACACGATGACATGACCTTCAAACAATTTTAAATGTAGATAGAGAAACCAAATTCATATAATTCAAATGTGTTTATCACCCATGGTGCAGAGGTTTAAGGGATTCCCTGTAACTAAGATTTTAGATACTGCTCAAAAGAAATGAGACACCAGAAGTGCAGACAATAACAAATATTATGAAATTCCAGTGTAAAGTTACTGACCTTGCTAGTTCGCACTTTGGTAGTGGAAATCCTGCTGTGGACACATAGCACAAAGGTTGGTAACTTCACTGTCGATCAGAAAAGTATCCTTTGTTTTGTATATTTTCTCTTCAATTTTTCTCTCCTTCCTTACCTGAAGAGGTTTTTGACTGTGTTTTGCTTCTATGACTCTGAATGACTAGGTGGTCACTGGACATAATGGCAGTGTGTGTCACCAGATGTCTATATTAAATGCAAAGATTATTATATTATTACTATAACAGGCTATTTGACCTTGAGGGTTTCACAGCTGATGCAGCCCTCACCTCACATCAACACATCTGTGCTTTCCAGCAAACATCTCTGACTAGCAATCAGTAGGAGCTGTTCTTGCATCTTATGTTCCTCTCCCTAACTTATGTGGCCTGATGTCAATTGTAACTCCCCAACTACTTCCCACCTAAAATGAGGTAACAGCTCTTCAGAACCAACTGATTTGGCATTAATTTACTCGTGAACTCAGGGTTGGCAAAGACAATCACACTCACAAACTCTACTGTACCTGAAATACTGTATTTGGTCAGAGGACCTATGATATTGTTAAACAAAATACACAAACATACAATATTCTTTAATGGATTTTCAACAGTGCAATATGGAAGTAGTACACAGCTGTATAATGAGAAAGTGCTATTTAGTGCAGTAGGATTATCAACGTGAGTAATCCTCCTTTTCAGAGATTGCTGACAGCTCCTTAACTACACAGCTCTGCCAGGTGAGCTGGAAACAGTCTCATATTACACTCTCAATCTCATTGCACACCCTGTCCATCAGCCAAAGGCATTTGGCATATTGACCATTGTGAAAGGAAAAGCCATTTCACCTGCCACAATACTGAAAGATCATTTTCCTTCTTCCTTTCGTTCACACTTGACACTGTCTCAAATCTATTTTTGCTCCAAATATACTGAAAGATTATAACAAACCATGCAGAGGTTTTGCCCGTGTATACTCCAACATTGCACTGTAACTAAAGCAAGTTTTTATTGAAGCATTTCAGTCCAGGCCACTCCCTTGACTTTGAAAACAAAGTTTGTAACAATGTTTTACAACAGAATGCATGGCATTATTAATTCGATGAGGAGCTGTAGGCATAACGAGATTTCCACATGTCTTGTTAATGGTTGTTGACATTTTCTAAGAACTTCTCGACAATGCAGCCATTTTGTCAGCATGGGATGATGCTACCTGTCACACAGTTAAATGTCATGAAAGGTTTAAAGGAGAAAGAACAAAAGGTGTAATCTGTTGAATAATAAATGGAACGCACATGAATGGGTAAAAAAAGCAACCAAGCGGACAAATCCAGACTATAGAAAACATTGGGGTTAACATCCCTGTTAGCTAGTTTAATGAAAATGATCAAACTGGGGCGCACTGTTAGGAAATTGCGCTAAATTTCGCTAGTGTTCAATGTGTTGCTCTCTTCATTCCTGCCCCCAAACAATTGCTGTGCGCAATTGGCTCCCGCATGTCACCCACAGAATATATACAGTCAATTTATTTTACAGTACATTTTGTGAAGCGCTTTGAGAGGTCTCGAAAATATGATAAGGCTCTATATCAAATGCAACGATTATTATTATTAAAAAGAGAGTGGAAAAAAATTTCTAAATAATAATAATCCTTGCATTTGATATAGTGCTTTTCACAACCTGTAAGGAAGATTTATTTCAGTATTCAGAAGAGAATTCAGTATTCACTATTCATAAAATAAGAGAATTTAAATAACTCCAGATTAAACCTGAACTATAGAAAGTATTTAACTCCAGATTCCATATGAAATTAGTGAAAGTATCTAACTCCAGATTAGACCTAGAGTGAGTTTAAAAAAAACTACAGATTAGACATCGAGTTAGTGACATTATGTAATGCCACATTACTCCTGGAATTATTGAAGTATATATCTCCAGATTATCCTGGAGTAAATTAAGGAAACCGGGTTGTCAAATTATGAATTTATGAGTTTAAGAACAGCATTGAGACCAGTAAACAGCACAGCATTTTTCTAATGGAGAGCCTGTTTACACAGTGGTGACTGTTAGTAGGGCATTTCCAAATGGAGCTCAGAGGGATTAGAGACTCCTGTCCCAACAGGTATAAACCAGACAGGTTAAATTGAGCTATCTGAACATACTAAAGGTTCAGCATCACAAGTACGAGACCATGACTATGACTGTGGTGCCTTCTGATCCATAGAAACTTGCAGATAGAACCAGCCATTGGGACCTCACTACCAGAAGCATCAACGTTTAAGTCACTGAGACTTTTTAAGAACCACAAGGGACATCTAAGGAGTCAAATTGCCATTGGTAACCGTACTATCTTGTCAGGCAATTAATTAGATACATCCTCAACTACAACCAACAACCGTTGTACCAGTCTTTCTGTACAGATTCAATCCTCAGTTTCCAGAGATCTGCAATTGAGCAATATTATTTTGTAAAAACATATTTGGTTATTCAATTGCTGTGTCACAATCCAGTTTAGCCTTTGCTGTGTTCTGCAATTCTTTAGTTTGGTCATTTGGTATCGCAATATTGACACTCGGTCGAAAGTTGTGATTTCAAGCCTTGAGTTTGTGATATAAACACTCTGGTGCAGTGCTCAGAAGTGCTGCATTATTGCCTTTTCGATGAGTTATTAGACCAAGATTCTGCCAACCTTTTAAGTAGACATTAAAGATCCTGTAACACTATTCACAAAGAGTTTCTCCAGGTTAATTGGTCTTTCACCTCATAACTGTTTGTGGGGCCTTTCTATCGCATTTGCTTATTAAAACAGTGACTACATTGGCAATAAATACCTTTGGGACTAAAAATTCAAGTTCTTTCTTTCATGCCTCATTCTTGTCATTGTACAATTCAGTGGGTACACAATACAAAAGCTAACAAATGCTGAATTTGTTCCCTTTAAACTTTACAGATTGCAGCTCATGAGAATACAAACACCCCACCTTTATTTGATCTATCACATTGGAGATGCAACCTTATACTATTCACTTACTATGAATTATTTATTTGGTAGTTATGTTGTTGCTGCTGAGCATCTAGATAGCTGAAGGTAAATAAGATCACGTACTGCTGTGTTGGTGTTAAAAGGAGCATTGTCTTCATGGTAACGTGTTTGTTAAACATATTATTTTGAAGTTAGAGTGGACAGAAAGAGTCATCATTTGTATCCTGATGATGTGTGCAAGTGATACAATGACGCATTGTGATTCAAACGACACCATTGCATTGTATCTTTGCAAACAATAAATATTTTGCTAAACACTTTCATTCAGATTGCGCCACTTTAATGTTCCTCTGATGTATGATATAAGCAAAGCATTTATTTTCCTAGCAAGCTATTTAAAATGCTACTGATCTTTTTCCCAACTCAAGTTGAGAGCAAGAGCAAATAATGGAATAATGTACAACTCCCATTGGTTACATCATTTTGGTAACATGGTGGTGAAAATGTGATAATGAGCAGATCAAATCTGTTATGCAATACTGTACTGCATTTTTTTAAAAATCCCACAATGGTTACGTGTGACGTGGATCAATGACTCCCAATACAAATTGAGGAAAGTACGTACCCAGATGTCTATTGCACCAGTTTCTAACCATCGATAGGGAAAATGTGACATAATGG